AGAGAGAGAGAGAGAGAGAGAGAGAGAGAGAGAGAGAGAGAGAGAGAGAGAGAGAGAGAGAGAGAGAGAGAGAACATGACATCCGGCCTGGGTGAGGTTAGCTGCCCAGGCAGTGCTGCTTGCTCCGCGTACCGCCAAACTGCTCGTCACCCGGGCAATTGCACAGTGCCTCTCTCGCTCTGTCCCAGAGCATCTATCTCGCTCCAGTGCTGGTTCCCCCTTATATATCTGCAGGGTGAGACTATCAGCCAGTCCGACGACCACGGGCTGGGAGTAATTCCAGCTAGTCCCATAGATCGAGGCTGGCTCAATCAGTCCAGCGCTAAAGAGTGTGGGACTGTGCTATTTTTAGATTGTGACTGGGACAGGCCCAATTCTGGAAGCCAAACACTCAGTCCTGCACTAAAAATGGTGCAGGACTGCACTGTTTTTATACTGGGACTGGGACAGGCAGTATTCTGGAAGCCGAACAGTCAGTCCTGCGCTAAAAATAGCATGGGACCCCCTTTTTAATTTAATAGGGGCCTGGTCCTTCAGTTCCTGCGACCCCACGGCTTTTCTTTTCGTCGATGTAGCCATAGGCCATATCATTTTAGTCCCAAACGGTCATTCCCACCTTTCCCACCTTTCTCGCCTGTCCAGTCCCCTCCCCTTTCAACCAAACCCCAGTTATTGACACGGCGCGTCGGCCTCCAACATGGTCCCCTCCCTTCCCCGTCTCATCCCAACCCTTTCCATCCCATCTCATCCCATCCCATCCCATCCCATCCCTACCAATCCAACCATTCATCCCTTCATATCACTACCAATCCAATCCATCTCATTCCTGTCCATCCCTACCAATCTAATCCATCCCATCCATTCAAATCCTTACCAATCCTCCTTTTTTTCCTTCCCCCTTCCCCCTCCCCCCCCCTACCTACCTAATCTGTCCCATCCATTTTCATCCCTACCAATCCTGTCCATCCCATCCCTTCCATCCCATCCCATCCCTTCCATCCCATCCCATCCCATCCCCCCTTTTTTTTTTTTTTTTTGTAAGCTATGTTCTTCTCTCAATTTCACCTCACAGTACCTACCTACCGCTACTCCTAATTGTAGGCATAGGGGGAACCCCGTAGCAGCCAGAACCGTGTTCACGAGAGAACATGCGGGGGCTGCTCCCACCTGGGCGATACCAGCTAGGGGCCAGCCGGTAGCATCCGGGACCATGCCAACAGGTCCAATCCCTGTGCCTCCCCTCAGGTCCCCTCCCCTATGAACATCAGCAGACTCTGCTAAATGCCAATCGGGGGATCCAGTGGTCTATCTCTAGGTGGCGGGCGCCAAGCATGCCCAAAAAGGTACATGAGGCCAATGGGGATTGAACCCACAACCTCCTGAATGCTACTTGCGAGCCTTACCAACTGAGTTAGGTCGCTGGATTCTCATCCCATTTCTACCAAACCCATTCATCACTTTCGATCCCTACCCATCCCATAAAATCCATCCAGCCAATCCCATAAAAAAATAAAAATTGATAAAATCCATCTCATCCCTCCAATCCCATCCAATCCATCTAATTCAGTCCATCCGTCCATCTAATTCAATCCATCCAGTCCATCAATACATTCAATGCATCCGATCCATTCATACATTCAATGCATTCAGTCCATGCAATGCACCCACCCATCCACCCACCCATCCACCAACACATCTGTCCATCCATCTATCCATCTATCCATCTATCCATCTATCCATCTATCCACCAATGAACTGATGGATCCACGGCTTGACAGATGATTGGATGGATGGATTGAGCAAGGGACAGACCAACGCATTGATTTGTCCATCAATTCGATCAATGCATGTCCAAGAGGGCGGGTGAGGTGTTGGTGTTGGATTGTGGGCTATTGTCGTGAGAAGGAGGCTCAAGTAGGGGCTAACTAAGCTCATGCAGGATTAATTGTTTTTTGGGCTGGAACAATGAATTTCTTTGAAGTAGCTCACTTTGTGCCAGAAAGACCTATGTATGAACAGGGTCTTATTTTATTACCTCATTTAGCTACTTCAGGATGGGGTACAGGACCAGGTGAAGAATTGAGTTGACCTCTTGTAACATGTGAGTTACATCCGTGTGTCTCTGCTTGTGTGTGTGTTGTGTACTCTGCTGCAGCCAGCACTTCTACACTGGATACGTATACGCGACCGAAATAAGACACTCTTGGAGACATTCATCATGTACTATTTTGTCTTCGTGAATTTCCTAGGGTAAGTGAAAAATGCCCCCCATTGGATCTCGCCCAAAGAAATCACAGTTCAGTCTTGCCCAACATAGGGGTGACAGGAATGTGTGTGTGTGTGTGTGTGTGTGTGTGTGTGTGTGTGTGTGTGTGTGTGTGTGTGTGTGTGTGAGAGAGAGAGAGAGAGAGAGAGAGAGAGATTTTGGGGGAGGGCAGGAGGGAAGGGGGTTCCGTTTTCTCTTTCTGTATTGGACCTCTTTTTGCCATAGCTGCAGTGTTGCACACCCCGACGGTCGGCGGCCCTTGACTGGTCGGCTGCCGACCCGCCGACCGATCGGCTAGTCGGCACCTACCGGTAGGGGGTTGTCGGTACCTAACGGTCGGGTGTCATCGGCACCCCCCAAAAAAAAAAAAA